GCGTGATTCTCTGTTGTCTATTTTCCTAGCCAAGATAAATCCTAAACCGAGGGAAACGGGAGATCTGTAACCTTTATGGTACATTTAACTACAGCTCGAGTGGATGATCACGTTCCAAAGCCATGACCAGTTCCAGCTGAGGCTGCTTTGCTTAGGATGCACTAGTCACTTGTAGGAAATCAAGGGAGTGTCTCCCCACCACTCAACACCATAAGAAAACAAGACTGTCCTTCAAAATGGTGATCCTTTGCTGTTTGTGAACAGTAGAGCAATTACTACCCACAGCAACAAGAGGACAGACTTGACACAAGGAAAGAAAGGTTGGCTTCAAGACCCATATTTGTCCAGATAAGCAAAGTTTATAAAAAACTAAGGAAGAAAACATTTTGATATAACATCTTTCACTGGGCTTTTGCTACTAGAATTGATTAGAGTATTTCTTTTGGCTCCAGTGGGTTTTCTGATGAGCCCTTATGTACATCAACGTTTCGGAGAGTTTCCGTACTTGCTCACTAGGCATTCACAAATTTTTCTAACTGAATTAACTCAAGAAGGTCTTTGGTGGTAGGAGCAACCCATATATGGATATTGGGTGCTTTGATATTGAAAACACAGAATGCAGAAGAATTTCAGATGAGACTCGAATTCAAAGCATCCCTTATTAAAGTCCAGAGCAATCAAAATCTAAGTCATAGATGCATTTTTTAAAAGAGGGCGGGATTGAGAAAATCTTGAGCAAGTAGCACCATCTCTTTACTTTGCATTTTCTCCTCCACACAGTCATCTTTCCCCTTGCACAAAGGGCTATAGCACCCAGTCTGCCCACAGCCAGGAGAGGGTTTCTGTGATAGTGTCTCCAGCCATATCTGACCACGATGGCACCACAGATCCCCAAAGGGCAGCAAATCCTGCATGTGAGCTCAGGCTATTTTAATAGCTGGAGAATTTAACTTGTTTTCCAACTGAATTCAGTCGGTGACTACAGAAATCATGCCAGCTCAACATCTACAGACAGTTCTTCACGCTGAAAAGAGAAGACAAGTGGAAAAGCAGCTGAACAAACAGCAGTCCTTAGGGATAATGAACAAGGCAAAACCCACTGGGGTTTGACTATAACTAATTGCATTCCTTGTCAGCAAAAGCTCAGGAAAGCCTGTTGTCCCCATGTGTGCGCACCCACCATGCTTCTGCGTCACTAATTTCGACTTTCCTTCTTTTCAAATCACTGTCTCCTGTGTCAACCTCAGTCTGCTTCTGTTATTACTGATGCTGAAGGAATTCAATAGCCATTAACCACTAAACCTAGACTAGCGGGAGCCAACTGTTACCAATATAGCTATTTCCAAAAAGACAAACAGCACCAGCAGGCTGACAGATTTTAAGGGCTGTTTCATGTGTTCTACAACAAAGAACAAAGTATCTTGCCTGACAGTTTGTCATGTGTGGTTTTCATTAAATAATGATCACAAAGCCATTTGGCATTCAGCACATACACGTATCTGACCGCATGCTCAAACAACTTACTTGTAGATCAAATCAGGACTTCAGTGTTAGAGGCAGGAAGAGGCACCCAGTGTCCCCTTCTCTACAGAGCTCATAATTTCACTTTTTCCATCATAACTCTTTGACCTGAAGGGCTTTTTTTTTTTTTCCCCTAGCACTTGGTCTCTCACAGGGAACACAAATAGGAACAGAAGGGAGTCATGGCTTGTTCCAGGAACTTTGCAGTGTGAATACCCAACGCAAAATACCAGCGAATACTTCACATAGAGTGATCGGAAGCACAGAATGTTTGCTGGCTTACCCAAATCAGCCTGACTGAATCAGCGGCTGAACTGGAAAACAGTTTAAACCATGCAGTTTTCAGGAGATGCTTTTACTAATCTCTGCAAACAGATTTGCTAGATAAAGCAGACATCTGTTGACCATCCAATATTGGCTTCTGCATGGAGCTACTCATTGTGCTAAAAAATTTCAAGAAAAGGTCTCATTATGGGACTACTATAAAAATTAATATTCACCCAGAAATAAGAGTAGTACTCCCTGGCTGTGAATATATCACCCTGAAAACACATCAAAATCTAGCAACCACACTAAAAGCAATGCTTTGCTCATTTGATAGTAGAGAACATTTCCAGTCAAATTTATGTAAATTCTGCATGGCTTTTGGACACTTGACCCAGCAAGCATCACCAGGCTTTTACTGACAGTTCTCTCAAAAATCCACTCATCTAGCAAGGTGTTGGCCATAGTTGGAGAGCTGATTGTCAGATAATTGGGATTTGTAATTTTTCACCTCCTTTTATTTTTCAAGACTTTGATCACTATGCCACAGCACTAAGTTGTCATTAGCAGTTGATAAAGCTCCTCTTCTAGTTGGGAAGCCTTCAGGAGTGCACAAGACTGTAGAAGAGAAGATAAGCCCTCAGTGCTACAAGGAGAGGTGGGTTGTATGCACTGGAGAGATATTCAAAGGTGTACAAAAATAACTCCTGCAAAGGAGTTACTACAATAAAACATCACTTCTTCATAAGGTAGTGTGTTAACTGCAGAAAAAGAGGCAAGTTTCAAACTACAGCTTTGGCTTATGACCTTATAAAATGTTGCACGTACCACCATTGTTTCCTTTCAACTTATTAAGTCTACGCAGAATAAACCTTGAAAGGAATCAGTTCAGATTTGTCCCTGGAGAAGTCAGATACTTCACTGTAACATCAGCCCAACTGCAGTACTCCGCCACAAAAGCACATCACTGTCTGGAGATGGAGTCCTTACATGGAGCAGATTTGCTAGCAATAAAAAGAACCAATGCTCCGAGGTTGCTAGTAGGCAACTAGTCTCCAAAACAGTCACCTACAGGTTAGAAAAGCACTGGAAAAAGAGACTTAGCCTTCTAGAAACTTCAAAGTGAATATCCAAGAAAATAAAGTTAGCGATTTCTGCTATTTGACCAGTTCAGCTTGTTCAGTCATGATAACGCATTAGAGTTCAACCTCCAGAAGTGATGCAAGGAGCACTTTTAAATGCATTTATAGTGGTACTGAGCAGGAACCTGCCCAGCTTTGATGCTTTCAGAAATCAGGCTGAGGAATCAGGTGTTTTAGTGTCCTCCTTGATTAACTCGATCAAACTGCCCTATTTGTTATCAATTTTATGCTGACAAGTCCAACATCTGGAGAGTAAGAGCTTCTACAAATTAAATATATGTAGTATTGATTTTTAACTTGAGTGTTATTTTACATGTAACACCCTGAGCCTTGCTCTGAATAGTTACCTAAAAGCTGTGCAGAATCAGTAGTCTCGGAGTTGGCTGGTCTTCACAAACTCAAATGAGGCTGCATTTGGCAATTTGGGGAATGCTCAAGACAGATATTGCTCTTCAGCACAGGCTGTACCACGCGGTCCAGCACAGCAGAAGCCACCAAGTCCCACATGTTTCTAAATCCTCTGGATTATACCATGAGCAGAGACTGAAAAGGACCAGTACAGGCCAGCACAGCAGATGACATGTCCCCCCAACATCTCACACTTACAGCAGCACTTTGCTAAGTGTTACCTAAATGACAAACAAGCCTTGTACCACAACTTCTACATCTTCCTTTTTACCATTAGTCATGAAAGAAGAAAGTGACCTAAAAAATAGCAGGAAAACATTAAAAATGGCAATATGACACACCGATCCCCCCTCTCTCCGACACATGGAGTCAGCTCCCATTACAGATCAAAGGCACAGCATGACACAGCCCAAAGAAGTCTTTCCAGGAAAATGTGAAAAAGCATTTTAAAATGCTTTTTTATTACTATTGTTATTCTTTTCAAGAAGTACTTACTGGCAGCTTTTTATGTCAATACAAAAGCTCTGTTATAATCTTCAGTAAATGTCAAATAATATTAAATTGATTAACTCTAAATTACAGCCATGTAATTGCCAGGAGAGATTTATCCAGACTAGCTAAACTGAACTCAAACTTCTAAAAATCATTCTTCATGTGCGCATTCACTATCTTCCAATTTCGCTTTTATGTCAACGTGTAAATTAGCAATGCATTATTCACATATGGCACTAGAGGTGTAATAACACCGCAAACTCCATAGCGCTTCCGCTTAAGGGGCTTTGTAGAAAGAAATTGCCTAAACAGTTACACACACACTGGAGTCTGAGATTAAGAGTACCAAGCATCAAGTAAATTAAATTACTCTACAGCCCTGAACCTGAAAGCTACTCTAGCAGGGAGACTAGATGCCAAGAAGATACCTTCAAGAGCGTCTTGGGGAGCAGTTCCACAAGGTGAGTGCTGGATGGGTCAGACAGAATGATACCACTTGCAACCCATTGCTATTTCCACTTAGCATAAAAAAAAACTCCACAAAATTGTACGCCTGCCTTTCAACAAGAACTGTATCTACAAGCTTTATTTTTAAGCCAGACATATCGCAGACTGCCACTTCACACTGTGCTCTCTTTGAACCCTTATACACAATCCATGCACGCACAAGATTTTGGTCATGTCTGGTGTGCTTTTTCCGACTCCACCAATAATGTTTCCCAAGGCTAATTTTTTTACATTAGGACATACTAATTAGAGGAGGGACGGTTAATTTTCTTTTTTTTAATTTCTGCAACATCTTTTTATCTTATTTTGGATATCAAAGCAGCACAGTCCTTTCCCACTATGTTCAGGCCTAGAAAAAGAGGTAACAAGATTCTTTTTTTTTTTTTTTTAATGAACAGTGCTAATTAGTGTTTTTTCCTAACCAGTCTAAGTTACACATTCAGAGGACAGTAATGTAGTAGGACTACATTTAGTCTATGGAATATTTGCTGAACTGCTAGCACCAAAGGGAGCAACTGAGCTGTATCCACGTCTTCTTAAATCTTGAAAATGTTGGTATCTGTAACTTTTTTTTTTAATTCCATGTTCATGAAAGTGCCTGTAGATGAGAGACATAACACTATTTCAAACACCAGAGTCCTCCACAAAGACACGCGGGCAGACGCTATATACATGTCTTAAGAGCTCACTCACTGGCAGCCTGGAAGATTGCCAGTGTAGTTCAGGGTCTGTGTTCATTGTTGGTTTTCTTTTTTTTTATTTTAAAAAGGATGAAACATATTGTTCTGTAAAAGAGATTTTGATCTCTTCAATATCTTCTTCAAGAGAGGCTGCTCTAGTCTCCCATAGAAGGAAATGCAATAGCTCACGTTCTGCATTACATGAAGCACTTGTGCAACTCTCCTTTTCCTAACCCGCTCCAGAGACTGCAAGAAAAATGAAATTTAAACCGTGTTATATTCTGCTACGTTGCCATGCAGCTGGAGCCGTCAGCCTGCCATGCTTCCAGGTCTGCAACCTGACTCAGGGTAAGTCTGATGGGTCAAAGTGGCAGGAATTCCCTTCAAGGAGATAAATCCCAGCAAAAAAAAAAAAAAAAGAAAAAAATCCTTTTGGCCCATGGCAGAAGGGGAAATCACATGCCAGCTCTTTAATTAAAATTACAGCAAGTCAAGTAGCTGATACTTTTCCCCTCTCCTGGTAAGGGGGATGAGACATTGTTCACAAGGGTGTTCTGTCGTGCCTCGCTGATCAACCGGCAGGCCAAGTCCAGGAAGAGTTTTTCCACATTATCCGATTCTTTTGCTGAGGTTTCCAGATAGTACATGTCCTGCGCTTCGGAAAACTCTGCAGCTCTTTGCTGGGAGACTTCCCTCTTATCAGCTAAATCAATCTTATTACCTGCATTGATAAAAGATTTTAGAAAAGGAATTAATTTGACTTCCAAAACAAGAGAAACAGAAGTTGATAAGGGATAAAGAAGAGTTCGGTGTTGTGTATACGTATGGACAGTGGTTCTGATGTGAAACCCTTAGTGCTTGCTCTCCCCTCCAAATAATGGACTCCCTGATACATGTGACCAAGTTCATTTAATATCAGCTCATTTAATGGAATATGCCCTGTGAACACCCAAGTCAGTTAGCTTTAATTTAGCACCAGTGCATCTGTTTGCTGCTATCAACCAACATTAAAGGATTTCCATTTTAATATCTATCGAAAATTCTCCTGTTCTTGCTCTGAGGAGCACTTAAAATGTCAATTATAGCATGTGAGACACTAAACACGATATTTCTCATGTCATTACAAGGTTTAAAAGAAGCCCGGCACGGAAGGCTGTTTTCAATATTCCCGTGAAGGATTTGGCTGTTGAGGCTGAAGAGGGACGGGCTTGGGGGGCACTCGCAGACCAAGGTGGGGCAAGAAACCAGCCCCTTCCTTTGGAGAGCTCGGAAAAAAAAATGCCTCAAGCAAGCGTCTGATATGATTATACCCTCTTACTGGCCACTTCAATTCAAACATGATGTTTTTGCCACAAATTAATCTTACAAAGAAGATAACAGACCAGGACCTGCGGTAACAGGAGGCTGTGTCTGTGGACTCAGCAGGTTCTGGAGGAAACATCTCCTGGCCTCGCTTCTACCAGCAATTTTGTGAGAACTAGTGGGAGGAAGACTGCACTTCCACTGGCAAGCCACGTCTCATTGCCCTCCTCTTATCTGAGATGCCCTTTCTTTTCTGACAAAGCAGTTTCCTGGACCTGCAGCATATGCTGAAATTACCTTTCTAAACAAATTATCACTCAACACAAGTGGTTTATGGGTGTCACCATCTTCAAAGTGTGTGTAATGGCTGTTATCATCTATATTTTGTGCTGTAGATGCTGCTAATTAACTTAATGTACCCTAGAAATTCACATAGACATTTGTTAGTCGTTTATTAATTATTTCTGCACCGTTTGTACACGTGCCATACCCTTCGCATGGAGTATAATAAGTTTCTTGTACAGAAGCTCCTTAAATCCCAAGGCTCACTTGGAATACCACTGGGGCATGTAAAAGTCAAAAGATTTTTAAAGTCACCTTAAACACATTTTACAATCCTCTAGATTTTTCTTTTAAACAAAAAACTATTAAAGGAGATAATGACAGTGCAGTATGAAACTTTTTGGCTTTCCCCAGGTTATTTTTCCATTGTTCTTTATATATCCTTGGGCCTTCAAAAGCCAAGTCCTAACCATCAGATGCTGAAAGCAGAGCATGGAAAAGCACGGGTAGGCAAAATAACCTTCACCTTGCCTGTAGCAGACAGATGGCCTGAGGCCTGCTTTAGCTTGAGTTGAAGCTCTACAGATTAACATAACATTCAGTTATTTATTTTTAGTTTCCCTAAAATCCATGCAAAAATACCAGTTTTCCAGCTCTGCCCCACCTATGAATGCTACGATCCACACAACCACCACGTCCTGATGCGGTTCCCAGATCCTGAGACACCTGAGACAAGACTCTGGTTGTCCCACAGCTATGGGGTGCAGCAACCCACAGGCAACCCCAGCTTGAGCAGATCCTTATACATTTGTAGAGCTCCGAGCTGGGAGTTACAAAGGAAACTGCTCTATTCTTAGCTCAGTTGGTAGCTGCACCATCAACACTTCAGTCCCTATGGGACCAACTGGTGGGAAGTATCCACCTCTACATGCAATAGCCTTAGACCTGAGACAGGACCACACTTCAAGAAGTGGCTGTGGTCTCCTGAACATCACTATCAGCATCTTGGCATTATCTGCAGAAGGAATGGTCCAAGCACTGGGTTTAAGACACCCCGTGCCCACCTGCAGTTACAACTGGTTGGCAACAAGATCTGCTGCACCAGTTTGAACATCCTGCACCACCAGTTCACACAGATGCCACGTTTTCCTCCTGCTAACACCTCCATCTGCCACCAAACCCCTGACACGCACAGTTCACCCCCTCATTGCACCACCACCCCACTAGGGACAATCGTCACTTACCCACTAGCACGGTTATGACCTTATTGCTGGCATACTGTTCGATTTCTCGCAGCCACTCGGGGAGACACCGGAAGGATTCTTCACAGGTGATGTCGTAGGTCAAGATTAACGCGTTAGCACTGCGATAGTAACTCTGCGTGATGGACCGGAATCGCTCTTGTCCTGCTGTGTCCCAGATCTGCAGCTTTTGCCATAACAAGGAAGGGTGGTAAAAGGGGAAACAAAATTATTTAACTTTTTTTATCTGATAGCAGCACTGTTTTGACCTTAAAAAAACATTCAGGGTAAAACCAGTGCTGGGAAAGCACTTAGCTCTGCTCCCCTTTGGCTTCCCCTCCCCCAGCATTTTTTGTTTCCGTTCCTGCACTCGCGGATTGAAATGCAAGGCACAAAGTCAGCTGGCACTGGGGCTGATGGCCCCTGGAAGCCGCAGGTCTGCGGGCTTTCATGCAACTTCTAGCATCTCCCTCTGCTGTGGACAGACCTGCTGGCCTGGAGTTACAACGCAGGTGCTGGAGGGAGAAAGTCACTTCTCCTGCCCCTGAAGTCCAACCAACAGCAGCATCCATCCCAAGAAGAAATAAGAAAGCCTCTCCTCTAGCTCCCAAAGCTAGTTACAGTTATCCTGAGATGATGCACTGATGGGTGGAAACCACAGGATTGAACAAGGAGCTCAGCTGAAGGCTGATCCAAGGACTCTAACACATCGCCTCTCTACAACTTCAGCCATCTCACCCAGTTGCTCGCTGCCTGCCTTCCCAACATGTAGAACTGGTTGACATGTCCTTAACTGTACCAAAGAGGTCATGAGTGTTTGCCAAACCCTCTGGGTCCAGGAAGAGAACATACATTTCCCAGTACAACCTAAACTCATACTGTTTTTATAATTTGACCATCTGATACTTTTTGGTGGGTCATCAAAACCTCAATTCTTCAAAAAGGCAGTCAAAGTAACAAACATCCAAAATTAAAACATTTCAACATAAAAGAGTACTTCTCTGCTTCAGCTTTTATTTTTTTTAAAGCACCCCTCCCTGGAATTAAATATGTGAAAGGGTGATTTCCAGCCAGAATCCTGTGTACTTTGGGAAGAAAAAGGTAAAGTGTTTGAGATTTTTTCCGTATATTCAGCAGCCCGTAACAAAGAAAACCTTATTCTTGCCCAGTTCCAAAGTCAAACTATGCCAGCTACTCATCATAAATGTGTTGGTTTGAAATGAGAGCTCCCAGTAGCAGCTTTCAGACATGGGGTATGATTTTGAAAAAGTACATTTTTTGCAGAGAAAGTAATTTGTGGCTGGCTCTCATCTCCTGCGCACCTTTGTGCTTAATCTCTCGGCATAGTTGTATTTAAATGGTTGAACCTGGCACCTGCAGTTAAGTGACACACAATTAAGTGAAATTACTTGCACATGAAATTCAGATAACAAACGAATCCCCATTAAAACAAACCAGCCTCCGAACTCTGGCAGATGGAAAAATACAGATAGTTTTGTTGTTGCTCGGCTATTTCCCAGGAAAAACATTTACTGATTGGTCTACTGGTTAACTCCAGCTTATATATGTTTCACATTTATTGAGAAGATCTCCAAGCTGATAAAAACTTGATGTGAATATGTTCTCCCACCGCTTTAATATAACAGACATTGAAAGCAAAATTGCCCTGGGGGAGAGGGTTTCTCACCGGCTGCAGCCATGAGTCTACCTGTGAGCTGGGTGCAGGAGGCAGGGAAGAGCCCCTGACCTTTCAGCCACTGATAAACTCTTCCTGCACACAAAATGCACATCTCACACTTCACACCACTGATTATTTCTGCCAAATAAAACATTTCACAGCAACTATTTTACTTGTACCATTTTTTTCAGAGGAACCAAAGTGCCTGACCTAGCCTGCAGAAAACCTAGATGTTTATTTTCTGGGAGCCAGCTTATGCTTCCCACTCTCCCAGCATTTGCACATACATTTAGCTTTATGCGTATGAACATTTCCAAGTACAGTAAGATCACAGGTCCATATAGCATAGCCCTCTGTTTGCAGCACTGAGGATGCTTTGACCAGCATGATGACTGCTATCTACTTGGCTTGAATTTGTGTAGCCTCTTAGTACAGGTGGTGTACATATTTTTGGTTTTATTAGAAAAGGCCAGGCAGATCAAAAGCCCCCTCAACTGCACAGTCCTGTCTCAGCTCATCTGTCAGCGAGCCTTAGTAGCCGCTCATACCTGATACGGCGTACACACAGCTTTCATGCTAGGCAAGTCCCTCTCCACTGACTTTCAAATGCAATTTTGAAAGCTGGAAAGTATTTTTCCCCAGAAACCTATCATTTATTTTCAAGTCTGAAAACCTTTTCAGTAAACAGCTCTGCTATCTCACCCTGGTTCCCAGCAGATGTGCAGGAGATGCTGGCCAGCACAGAAGCGGAGTCACGGCTCTGGCACTGTGAAATGAGGTAGCAGTCACAGAAGAGCCTTGTTCGACTGATGTCATTTTTATTGCTCTGTGCTCCGAGTCATTCCTAAAAAAATTCTCACTAGCACTGCTTACTCAAAAAGTTTCAGCTACAAGATCACTCCCTGAAAGAAATCCGTTTGCCTTTCAGACTCCAGAAGGCTCATTCAAATGCCCAAATGTATCGTGCTATGCTTCTTCCCAAGCTTGGTCATTGTAGCTGAGCTCCAGTGACTCCAATTTACTCCACTGGTGGGGTCGGGAGAGGGACTTTGATTTAACAACTCATTATTTGCTATGAGAAATATAGCTGGTATACCAGCTACCACTTGCTAAGGCTCTGTGAAACACAAGCCAGCCCCAAGGTGATGAAGAAAGAGTTGCTTGGGTGGACACTTGTGCATTCATCAGACGTTTGCAGGGCAGTAGGGGCTTACCACACTGCCAAGATTGCATTTAGCTTGTAGAGCTTCCCTGAATCCTCCTTGCCCCTGAGATAGCCCATTCTGGCATGACTGCTCCCAACTTTCTCTTAAGGAGTTTGCATCCTCAGTCCAAGTTAGTCTTAAAACACGATTATGTCATGAGAGCAACAAGTCAAGCGCAGACAAATCCTTAGGGTGAGTTCACCTGCCCAAAAACCAGACCTCAGATATAAGCAATGCTCTTAAGGCTCCATCTATACTTGACAGGGAACCAGATGCTTGGAAAGGAGAGGTGTCTGAAGTGGATGGGATTCATCTTCCTTGAGATTGCTTTTCCCTCTCCTTTGACCAGGGCAATCTTGAGACAACTGGTTTAAGCCAGGTATATAAGGGAAAAAATGAATTCCATCTTCAGTGCCATACTTAAGCCATTTACCAGCTTAGATCCTCTGAGCTGCTCCACTGGAGCTGGTTTTGGCAGAAAGAAGCATCTCTGCTGTCCGAGGAGCCTGGACAAGCAGCATCCATGTCCTGGCCGACCCCTCTACACCAGATGCCCGCTAATGAGCATCACAACCACTGAACTAAGCACTGACACCACAGGGGTGATGCTCAGTGCTTTCCTCCCTGCTGCTCTGTCCCACTTGCACACCGATGTGCTGAACATTAACTCGGTCTTTATCAGGGGAAGATACTTACACCTCTTGTCCTTCACCTGCTTAGGCTGGAAGGTCCTCTGGTCAGGAACCATCACTTGCCATAGGTTTGTACAGCTCCTCACGCAGCAGGGTGGCAGCCTGCTGACATGATCACGGCTTTTAAAATCTGTCCTAAATTTAGGAACGCACCACCTGATTTTCTTCTCAAAAAAACCCTGCACTGAAATACAGGTGAAAACACCCAGGGTTGAAAATCTGCACAAGTCCACTGTTTCCATCTCAGCACAAGCTTAAAAATGGGTCTCAGTGTCACATCCAGCTGCTGTCACACTGCTGCCGCTCTCCCATTTGCTCTCTACTAGATTTGATGATGGCAACAAGGGGAAAAACCGTGTTTTTCAATTTGATGCACCTGGATTTAATGCAGGCAGAGTAGTTCCAGGAACAGCTCAGGGATCCTAGACACCTTGACATTAGAGGCTCAGCTAACCAATACTCTTCTCTTGCCTCTTGAGCACCACAGTAGCTCTAGTGAAATCTCTAGTAATGAACGAAGCGGCGCCAGCCAACATCTCTGGGTACTGGAACCCAACCATGGATCCCATTAAAGCATGGGATTGATCCCTGGTGTTTTTGAGCCAGGCAAAATAGTTCTCTGCCAAGTGATGCTCAGGCTCAGTTTGTGAGTTAGCACGGGACAAGGACAGTTTCCCAGCAGCAGTTTGGTTGCAACCACCCTATTTTGGAGGGTGAAAGAGTTAATGCGGACATTGCCCTTCTCACTTCAATCTGTTGACCAAAGCATCAGTATTGTGACCATCTCATCTTCTCCCAAATCTGTAACTCGGCAGAAGTGGAAGATGAGCCTTTGCTGTGCAGAACTGCACAAGTCCAGAAGCCTGCTCTCCTCCACCGGCCATTTCAAGAGCTCACAGGAGACTACCTTCACTGAGCACATCCCAGTGAGAAAGCAACAGTTTTCGGTTTACCAGAAATGCCATAAGTGGAGGTAGCACTGAAGCGCTTCTTTGCGCCTCCTCAACCCCAACCAGTCTCAGTGTCTCCTAAGCAAGGACAGAGTTTTGCAAGATCTCCCCTTTCCATTTTCTCCCTTAGAGTAGGTTCGCTGTTATGATCCTGATGGTAATTATGGAGAGGGGCACAAAGATCATTAGACCCAGCATTGCCTGAGCCATGCCAGGCAGCCCAATGCTTCCCCACATGCCCACAGGCCTTCCAGCAGTGAGAAACTTCAGCTACGGTACCGCCACACAAGTTTACACTGAAAACCATCAGGCTCCTACCTTTACTTTTTCACCGTTTATCTCCACAGTTTTAATCATAAAGTCAACCCCAATTGTGGCTCCTTGACCCGGTGGGAAAAGCCCCTGAAAGAAAACAGAGTTTCGTTAAGTAAATTTCTGTAGCTCTCTCTGGGTGCCAATCCTCACCCTTTTCCATCCCCCAAACTAATTCTCCCATGTCCCCTTCCCCAGACACTTATTTCCATCACATTTAGAGAGGAAAACGTGACATTTCCCCAGTACAAAGGTTACCATAATTCAACCCCACAATGTTTTCGCTGCCTACACCTCCCTAGCTGTGTAGCAAGTGGTTGACTTGAGAGGTGGGAAAACAGGAGAAGAAAAGGAGGATGCATACAGGGAAAAAAAGAGAGGAAAAGCCCTTCTGCTTCTGTGCAGTTGGAGGAGGCAGGGGAAGGGTAGATGGAGACCCTCTGTCCCGCTTCCCAACGCCTTGAAAGAGGTGGGAGCACCCGCGTGGGATGAGATGCCTTTGTTCCTGCAACCTCACACCTTCCTTCTCCCCTCCACCACACACCATGGCATGGAAAGGCATTTCTGGCAGCTCCCAGCACTGGGGCCACATCCCTGCAGAGCATTTCGGGAGAGAAGCACGGTGCCAGCCGCTACCAGTGCCACAGCAATGGCAAGGGCCGGCATGAGGCTGGTGGTATTTGATCACAGCACCATCAGAAAGGAGCGACAGCAAACCAAAAAAACATAAACAGAGCTTTTTGATTTCTGGTGTCTACGTCTACAAAGTCATGTTGATTTGGGGGAACATCCATCCCCTGTAGCAGCTGCGCTGCCAAAGGACGAACAGCAGAAGTGGCCACAGATTTTTGCAGTTAACCCTTTGGGGTTGACTAGCTTTATTGCCACCGGCTGTCACATGCGGTTGGAGAGTGTTTAACATCACCATGGCTTTAAAACTAAAATTAACAGTGAAGGGGGAAATTACTGACAATCCCTAGTGGAGAGTGCAACAAAAAACCCACAACTTATGTTTTATAGCACATCATGCAAAATCTTCTCTTGCCCTGGATCACAGAAGCCTGGTCCTTTCCCTGTTATTCTGCCTCAAAAAAGGTTTGGTGTTTAACAGAAAACATTGGACTGACAGCCCAGGATCCAGATTATTTAATTATCTACTAATGACAAATAACAGGGAGAGCTTTGTGCAGTGGCAGGAGAGATAGGGAGGAGAAGGCACATGGGAGCACACCAGGAGATGTGTTCGTCCTTATAACCAGCCTAGAGAACCTCAGATCAGGAGGAGTTTTCCCAGTGGCTTTCAGAGAGGACTTTCCATCTTCAGAGAGGGATGAGCTCTCTCCAACGCAAGATCGATGATGCACGCACCAAGAGTGCGGACAACAAATTGCTTCGGAGCTGCAATGCCAGCGAAGCTCTCGGTGCACTGCCACGGGCTCCACACTCCCATCCCAGTGCTGTCCTGACCCCAACATCACACATCCAAGAGGTGGCCAACCTTACCTGAGTGAAGCGACGGACTAAGCAGGTCTTCCCCACACCGGCGTTGCCAATTAAAACAATTTTGAAGAGGAAATCATAATCTTCCATACTCATTTACGCAGCTGCAAGAGAGAGAGAGAGCACGACACAACGTGAACCAAGGCAGTGGGGAAATGCCCTTTTATTTCTGCTGAACTTTATTCCTCCACATATTCAGAACAAAGGTCTCCTGGCACGTACATGGCTCCCCAGATAAGGGAGAAGAGCTCTTCCTGCTCTGAGCCGGGGCATCCACGTAGTCCAACATCACTCCTGCTGCAAAACCTCGGCCACATTTTTGGCTTTCACACCATCTCACCTGGCTGCCCATGCTGGTTTTCAGATTTCAGAGCAAGGCTCCACAAACCTGAGCCACCTTTTCTTAAGATTTCCCCAAGTGTTTGGTTTGCTTTTAACTGTGTCAGCTCCAAAGGACAGTGTGGACTTTGCCACCTTGTCCAAGGGGAACGCACAGTTTATTTCTGTTAGGGCAATACCCAGAAACCCCCCAGGAGCTCCTCCAGACGGGTGCTGAGTACACACAGAGCAGGGTGGAGGGGCACATGGGGGCAGAACAGACAGGGAAATTAAAATAATTTTAAAATAAAAGCAGCAGTGTTTGCCTTAAAGACAGAATGAGCTCATTAGCTAAAATTGTAGTGGGGAGTCATAGAATCATACAATAGAAACATACAATCGTTTAGGTTGGAAAAGACTTAAGATGATCAAGTCCAACCATTAACCTAGCAGTGCCAAGTCCACCACTAAGCCACGTCCCTAAGCACCACATCTACACGTCTTTTAAATACCTCCAGGGATGGCGACTCAGTGCTTGGCAACTCTTTTGGTGAAGAAATTTTTCCTAATATCCAATCTAAACCTCCCCTGGTGCAACTTGAGGCCATTTCCTCTTGTCCTATTGCTTGTAACTTGGGAGAAGAGA